TTTCTTATGTGTCTTTCAGCCATTTTCTGCACTCCAACTTTTAATTGCCTTGTTTGGTGTTTTCGTGGCTAGCTTCTTGAGTTCTTTGTATATTTTGATGATCAGCCCTCTGGCAGATGTGAGGTTTGTGAATATCTTTTCCCATTCGGTGGGCTAGTGTTTTGTCTTGCTGACTGTGTCCTTTGCCTTACAGAAGCTTCTCAGTTTCAGGAGGTCCCATTTATTAATTGTAGACCTCAATGTTTGTGCTACTGGTGTTATGTTCAGAAAATGGTCTCCTGTACCAATTTGTTCGAGGGTACCACCTACCTGGTCTTCTAGGAGGTTCAGTGTAGCTGAATTTATGTTGAGGTCTTTGATCCATTTGGATTTAAATTTTGTGCATCACAATAGATATGGATCTAACTGCAATCATCTACATGCCCCAATCCAGTTATGCCAACACCATTTGTTGACGTTGTTTTCTTTTTTCCATTGTATAACTTTAGCTTCTTTATCAAAAATCAGGTGTTCATAAATGTGTGGGTTAATATCAGGGTTTTCAATTCGATTCCATTGGTCATCCTATTTTTTTTGTTGCCAATACCAAGCTGTTTTCAGGACTATGGCTCTATAATAGAGCTTGAAGTCAGGGATTGTGATGCTTCTGGAAGATCCTTTATTGTATTGGGTTGTTTTGGCTATCCTGTGTTTTTTGTTCTTCCATATGAAATTGAGTATTGTTCTTTCAAGTTCTGTGAAGAACTGTGCTGGGATTTTGATGGGAATTGTATTGAATCTGTAGATTGCTTTTGGCAAGATTGCCATTTATACTATGTTGATCCTACCTATCCAAGAGCATGGGAAATATTTCCATTTTCTGGTATCTTCTTTAATTTCTTTCTTTAAAGACTCAAAGTTCTTTATCACTTTTGGTTAGTGTTACCTGAAGATATTTTATGTTATTTGTGACAATTGTGAAGGGTGATATTTCTCTGACTTCTTTCTCAGCACATTTATCATCTGTATATACTAGGGCTACTGATTTTTTTAGTTAATCTTGTATTCTGCCACTTTGCTGAAGGCGTTTATCAGCAGTAGGGGTTCCCTGGTAGAGTTTTTCGGGTCACCTATGTAAACTACCATATCATCTGCAAATAGTGAAAGTTTGACTTCTTCCCTTCCAATTTGTATCCCCTTGATCTCCTTTTGTTGTCTTATTGCTCTAGCTAGACCTTCAAGGACAAAATTGAAGAGGTATGGAGAGAGTGGAAACCTTGTCTTGTTCCTGATTTTATAGGAATAGCTTTGAATTTCTCTCCATTTAGTTTGTTGGTTTGCTTTTATCATGTTTAGGTGTGTTTCTGTTATTCATTGTCTCTATTCTCATCTTTTCTGCAAGATTGTCTTATATGTTGTCAGAACTGTGCAAAATCTCTTTCCTGGAGACAAGCTCCCCATCTCGTTCCATCACACTTGACCCCCTCTTTTCTTTTCCCAGAACGAGATTCCATGGGAAATGCCAACTCCTCGAGGTGCACTGTCTCAACAATTTTATAGCCAAAGAAATGGGCAAAGTGTCTCCTTAGGATGTCTTCATTCCTGCCAGGACTGTACAGTGCCTTCCTGGCCAGATGCTAAGAGTTTGTTCCTTATGATTCAGTCAAGCAACAGCAAGGGCAGTAGTCACACAGTGTGCTGAGTGGCCTATGGTCTCACTGGCAGAGAGTCCTGCCAGAAGCTCAGGTGATGGGATGTTCAATCTGCAGTTAGAGTCTGACCACAGGGGCTAGTCCAGAATCTTGGCTTTATTGAGATCATGCATCATTTTGCTTGAATGACAAATGGGATTTTAGACTTCAACTGGACACCACCAGCCACATTTAAATCACACTGGCCTGAAGCAGAACAACAGCTGTGCTCATGGCTTCTAGCTGTGGTGGCAATGTGAGCAATCTTGTTAGAGAAGCCAGCTCTGAGGAAAGCCTCTCTAGTCACTGTCTTCTTGAATTTCTGTGCAAAAGAAGATGCAATGACCTCCCACTTCTTTGGGACACTGGTCTGAGCAGCACAAACCAAAAGTCCCCCTCTAGCTACACCACATGGTGTTGCAGAATATTATTTTAAAGTGTGCTACTTTTGTTTATGCTGTGGAACACTTGTTTTAATGATACAAAGATGTGTTGCTTTTGTTTATGCTGCATTCGTTTGACTCTGTGAAGCTGTGTCTAAAATACCTGATGGTCTAATAAAGCACTGGCCAGCCAATAGCGAGGCAGGAGAATAGATAGGGGGGACTGGCAGGAAGAGAGAACAAATAGGAGAACTCTGAGAGAAGGAGTGAAATAGAACAAGGAGAGGATGACCTTTGGGGCCAGCCACCCAACCACCCAGGCAGCCACAGAGTAAGAGTGAAAGTAAGATATACAGATGTAAGAAAAGGAAAAAAGCCTAGAGGTGAAAGGTAGTCGGGTTAATTTAAGAAAAGCTGGCAAGAAACAAGCCTAGCTAAGGCCAGCATTTATAAGAAAGAACATCTGTGTGTGATTTATTTGAGAGCTGGGTGGTGGGCCCCCAAATGAGCCAAGAAGCCAAGAAATGGTAAAGAGTAAAATAAGCAACAGTGTGGCAGCATATCTCTGTATGAAAGTCCTGAGGGCAAGAACAGAACACAGGTGTCACTGGTCACCACACTAATACCTTCTACTGGGTTTGCTAAGGTCCTTTTCCATTTGATATGGACAGCAGGGCAGCTCACAGCTGTGAGGAACAGTGCAGGTCCATGGGAAATTAGTATCAATTTGTCTGCTTCTGTTTATTTTTAATTCTTAATATTATCTGTGGACCAAACCATGCTGGGAGCAGGATCCGACATGTACATCAAGGAAGACTTTAGAATGGCTTCTACTCTCACCTTCGCTCACTCAGGGCTTCCTCCGTCCCCTGCCTTAAGAGCATCCATAGTTAAATGCTGGGATGGCAGACATATGATACCATACCAGGCTTTAGAGGGGTTGAAATCTTATTTGAGAGCAAAGCCCTGACATTATGAAAAAATTGATTTAGTATGAAAAACTATATAGAAAAATAACCATAGTCAAAGGAAAATTGCAGATCATATACACAACCATGACTCAATTCAAGCAACAAGTAAAGGAAACCCCAGAGACCCTTCTGAAAACATGGAGTAAAGAACATAAACAGAATTTGTAGAACCTTGAAATGCATCTGTGTGAGGAAAATACAGTTAACCATGCTGATTAAGATTATGAGTTCTTTACTTTTGATGGGTTATCAAGAATGGTTTCTTGACTTTGGGAGCCCATCCCACATAGAGGGATACTCCCTGAGCCTAAACACACAGGGTGTGGACCTAGGCCCTATTCCAAAGGATATGACAGACTCTGAAGACCCCCTATAGAGGGCCTCACCCTCCCTGGGTAGCAGAAAATGTATGGGATAGGTAGGATATTAGTTGAGGGAGGGCACAGGAGGAGAGGAGGGAGAGGGAACTGGGATTGACATGTAAAACAATCTTGTTTCTAATTCAAATAAAAATGGAGGAAAAATTGATTTGCCATTTAAAAATGAAAAAAAAAAGAATGGGTCCTTGGTGCCAAAGCTCAGGTATACAGCATTTTACAAGGCAAAACCACCAAGATCATAATTTACATCAAAGTTAAATGAGGATCAGAATAGCCTGGAAACATTTTAGGCAGAACATAGTAGTTATCTCAGACATAATATGCCAATTATTTTTGGCTTATACCATCTTCAGTTATTTTGGTTTGTATAAACATTAATTATTTTCAAGAACATATCTGTACCATGGTCAAGGACATGGAAATCTCAAATATGTTGCCAGGGAAGACATGGCTGTTGGGACGATAGAGGGCTGAAGACTGTCTAGGCAAACACAAAATGGGAACCAGGACAAGATGGTGTTACCTTAGTCATTTTATTAAAATCCAAGTTACTATTGAACATTTAAAAATTTCCACCTCCTTCAACACAATAGACACCAAATGACTACAATAGCCATTTCTACTTAGATTTTCAAAGACTTAAAAATTTAGTAACAATCTGGATTAGAGATAGAGGAACCAGGCTCTTACCCAAATTGCTGATAGACATGTAAATAGGCATACTATTTTTAAAATGTATAACGTTTTAAAACAAAACTGCTGTTTGTCATTAGACTTTTCTTAGTCAGCGGTTCCTATTGCTCTGATGAAAAACCATGACAAAAGTAAGTTGGGGAGGAAAGGTTTATCTGGCTTGCACGTCTACATCATAGTCCATCACTGAAGAAGTCAGATCAGGAACTCAAACAGGGCTGGAGCCTGGAGGCAGGAAGTAATGCAGAGGCTGTGAAGGGCTGCTGCTTACTGGCTTGCTTCCCATGGCTTGCTCAGCTTGCTTTCTTGTAGAATTCAGGACCATAAGCCCAGGGATGGTACTGCCCACAATGGACTGGGACTCTGAATCAATCACTAATTAAGAAAACGCCCTTCTGGTTTACCTACAGCTTGATCTAATGGGGGTTTATTTTCTTTCTTTATTTTAAAGCATTGTTTTTTTCTTTCTTAAAAACAATCTTTTTATTGATTCTTTGTGGATTTCACATCATACATCCCGATCCCACTCATCTCCCTGTCCCTTTGTATCTGCCCTTTGCCCTTGCAACCTCCCCCAACCCTGCAAAAAAAATCTTGCCATGAAAGCTGTAGTGTGGCTCAATGAGCACATACATCTTTACTTCCAAGTGTTCATTGCAATGAGTCATTGGTCTGGCTTGATGCCTCTGGCTTCTGCCACACTATCAATACTGGGCTTTCTGGGACTCCTCTTGGATATCCTGTTGTTGCCCTGTGTCATGAGATCCTACAGGACCAGCTCCTTCATGTGCTCCAGCAGATCACAGATGGGGTGGATTTTTGGGGTGGGCCAACTCATAGTCCTGGTTCTGGGCCTGGGTGGTAGCTGAGTTGGTCAGCTCGCCAGCTCTCCCACATCCTCACCACCAGGGTGATTTCTCCAGCATTGCCCCGGCTAGCTCTGATGCAGCAGGCAGCAAGGGCAGAGCCAGTTGTACTGTTCTCATGCCCTGGGGGAGGGGGCAGCTCACTCACATCACCAGGGTCATCTCTGCTGTGTTGCTCAGCCAAGGTGTGAGGCCCACTCTTTTGAGTACTGCAATTGGTGCAGGGCAGGCCCAGCTCTTCCACCATGCCTCCGAGAGCTGATGGGAGCATGGGAGCTTTTACTTAATTGAGGTCCCCTCCTCAGGTGACTTCAGCTTGTGTCTAGTTGACATAAAACTACCCAACACAAGACATTTAGTCATCTATCCTGTGGGCAGAGTTATAAATGTAAAATGATGGTCTAGGATCTTTACTCCAGTACAGCTGATGTTTAGTGAAAGAATAAGCCCAAGATGGAGAGTGACCACCGTGCTGGAGTTGTTAGTTGGGGGAATGGGAGGTAGAAAGCAGGTTCTATGTAAACTTTCCAAACCCCATGTCTCCTCTAACACTCCCTTTCTACTTCCCCATCCTCTCTATTTGGATCGTTTTGGAGGGCCCAACCTAGAAATGTGGGAGACACTCAAAAGTCCTCTGCTTCTTTCAGATCTGATATGATTGTTTAGACACGTTCCTGTCCCTATTTTTCCTTGTAGGCAGTCATTGAAACTCTCCTTTGTGCCATACCTGTGGACTCTCCAGAGCCAGGCTTGGAGTCTGTCACTTCCGTTGCATGCTTCATAGCTATTTAGCACCAAGCCTTGCTACCTCCAAATTCTACTTGCAAAGACTTGGGACCTAGAAAAATTGGGTAGAGAGCTGTGCTGTCAAATCCAGTTCTCAAAACAAAGTTAATAGTTTTGCCTCTGCTGGGTATCTTTTCTACTCTCGATTTCCTTCTCTTATTCCAAGGTCAATATAAACGTGTAATGATAAACATATAAAACCCAGGTCAGACATTTGTGAGGCATGCCCATTCTCGCTCAGTCACTCAGCCAGCCACCCTCCACAGTACTAGTTTCTATCCATCTCCCTAAGTACATTCTCTCACCCGTATTCTCGAGGTGAAAGGACTTGCCCCTTCCCATTACATAAGCGCCAGAGTCACCAGAAGGTCTGGGAGTATGAAGAGTTGGCGAAGAGAGGGAGAGGAGGGCTCAGTTGTGAGAAGGATGCTGCATTTTGGGGTCCCTAGCTGCTCAAGTCGAGCCATTACTGGGAGTTGTGCACAGGCACATCCCCTTGGTCTCTAATCAGACGCCAAGGGGGAGGGTACCCGACCCATCTCACCCGACCCACATCAACAGAACCGAATACGTATACAAATAGCCCGCCACCACGTGAACAGTTGTTCACGTGAGCACGGCGGTGCGTGACCCGCGGGAGTCACGTGAGTGCGTGTGGTCACGTGAGCGCCGTGTCTCTGCAGCTCTGCCTTTGCTTCCTGCTCCTTTCTGAGCTTCAGGCCCATGGAGGAGGAGGATGAGGAGGCGCGGGGGCTGCTTGGGGACCGCCCCGAGGGGGACAACGCAGTCCCGGGCGCCCCGCGTGCTCTGCCCGCTCTGTGCGATCCCAGCCACCTGGCGCACCGGCTCGTGGTGCTGTTCCTGATGTGCCTTCTTGGCTTCGGTGAGCGGGGGAGGGCTAGGGAGACTGATCGAGGGATTCCGGGGTTCGTGTCCCCGGATCTGATCTGTCGCCTGGGCTTGAGACCGTCTCTATCCAGTCGTGGCGAGGGAGGCCCGGGTACTGAGCTGGACTGAGTTGGTGACTTTTGTTCCTGCTAAGTCCCAGAGTGCAGCAGCTCCTCGCTGGGGGCGCAGATGAGAAGGAATCTCAGATACTTTTCCCGGAGCACTGTGCTCAGGAGACTTCTGAGCGTTGTCTAAGTACTTTCTCCTACTTTCCCCAGGCGACACTCATTCCTCCCCAAAACGCTCTTTTCTTGGTGTTCCTTTAGATCTCGCACCCGCTTTGGGACACTGCACCTTGCTGGCAGCCTAACTGTAGGCGTCTTTTCTTACCCTTCCTGTGAGAAGCGGTCCTGCGGGACCGCGCTTGTTTGGAAGTGGTTGGTTTCACTTAAGAAATCTGATCCTCGGAAACAGTCTCTTGAGATTCTTTTAAAAACATCTTTCCCTCCTGTGTTACAGTTTTAAGTTCATGCTGCAACCGTTCCGATTCGTAAATACTGGCTTGGCTTGAAAGTGTCATTTCGGGGATCAGATTAAAAAATAAATGCTCCTGACGTATAAAGGATACTTTGGGTTTTGGTTTCCTTCCAGTTCGTTTACACTGTTGACTAGTTTCATTTGCTTTAAAACGTGGTTGTGAGCCGGGAGTGGTGGTGTACTTCTTTAATTCCAATATTGGAAGGCAGACACAGGTGAATCTCTAAGAGTTAGAGAGGACAGCCGGTCCTACAGAGTGAGTTCTTGTCTCAACAAACAATCAGTCAATCAAATAAACAAACCATGACATTGCATCTCTTATTAGAAGCTAAATCAGGAACCAAAAATTCTAGGTTTAGAATCAATAACCAAGAAAGGAAGACAAATCACTTGAAGAAATTTTCCCTACTCATGTTGACAGCTTATTTTTGGTAGGTAGATGGCTAAACGTTTGGGTTTGAGAAGAGAGAGCCCCGACTCTCTAGTTACCTTGCCCACCTTTGAACTGGTGGCTTTGTGTATTTGCAGAGTCAGGGCGGAAACAGACAGTGTTATGGTGGGGCCTCCTCAAGCCTGTCTGTTAACCTTTGAGATACCTCTCCAGGTCATGCATAACAGATCTCTCCCTACTCTTGTTTCTAACTCCCCAAGAGACATTTTATTTTCGTTTGATCCTTTAGCCTCTCAGTTGTGTTGCTCTCGTTTCTAGCACCGAATTCACTCAGTCATTTGCTCCTGAGTATTTTGTTTGCAGGATTAAAATTTATTTCAAATACTGGTTTGGTTTAAATAGCTGAAGTTAATTATGCTTTCAAGAAAAGTGACTACAGTTAATATGCAATTGTGGAGAATGTAGAATTTTTAGTGTTGGTGGCTTTAATTAAGGAAAATGAAGCTATTTCGTGAAGATATTAATATAGTAATAATCATGAAGAAAACAAAATGTTAAAAACAGTCAATGCTGACTTATTAAGTTTCTGGTATTTGCTGGGTATGCATATTGCTAAATAGTGGAAGTTCTTTTGGATGGTAGACAAAGGAAGTGGTTAAAAAAAAAGTTCCTGTGGCGTCAGCCGTAGGGTATGCCTTAAACACCCCAGAGTAGTTACTAATTAGGAGTTGTAACTGGAAACTCTTTTGTAGACATTATCATAATGAGTGAAATGTGTGCTCTTTCTTTCCTAGGTAGCTATTTTTGCTATGACAGTCCTGCTGCCCTTCAGACTCAGGTTAAACAGGTGAGTTGATTTTCCACATTCTTGTGCTACTCTTTGTTTTGGAGCACTGACTTATAGATGCTGAGCTACCATGAGCTCTCAGGGTGCCCCATCTGAAATGTCCACTTACTTTCTATTCTAGTGTCATTGGTAAACCCACAGCTACAGACTTCTTGAGATCAAATTTGTTTCCCCAAAGAACTCATGAATGACACATATATGACATTCTTTAGGTAGATAATTGCGAACTCTATCTACAGTGTTCCTAAAAATGTTAGTTTTTGTTGAGATTTTTTACTCCCATTGTCTGCTCCTCTGAATAAGTGATTTGTTGAATGGTTTTGGCCTTCTTAAATAAACTCTGTTGTTATTTACTTCTGTAAATGTGGATATTGTTTGCTGAGTATTGTCCCTATCAACATTCTTAGTCTGGTTTTGAATTGTAAAATTATATTTGATATTTGTCATTTCTTGGGCATTTGACCATTATTTTGTGCTTTTCTTTTTGAAGCTATTAAGGAGAGGGCAAGTGCACATGTTGTCCTGTATTCTAGTAGGAGTTAAAGAGAATAGGGTCTATAAGACTAGGCAACGGTGATTCTTTTCTGTGTGGGACGAGTCCATAATGCAGGCAGAAATAACGACGTAAGGATGTAGGAAATAGAAACAGGCTGAGTTGGCCCACATACCGGTGACTGGTGCTGGAATCCTTGAGGTCCAATTAGTATGCAGAATTAAGACATTCCCATGTGTGACTGTTCTTGTGAGTGCATGGACTGTAGCTTCCATGAGAGTCTTAATAAACTTACCCTATACAGAAATAGAGCTGTAACCATTTTTTGTTTTAATTTGCTAATTGTTAAACCCATTTGGAAAAAAGTTTTCTTTTCTTCCCATATAGGACATGCAAGTGAATACTACGAAATTTATGCTGCTGTATGCCTGGTATTCTTGGCCCAATGTAGTTTTGTGTTTCCTGGGTGGCTTTTTGATAGACCGAATATTTGGAATACGGTAAGCTTGCAGAAGAATTAATTTGTGGGCAAATTTAACTGGTGAGTAGGAGAATGTAGGAATGGAGTGAAGTTTTTCTTTGAAGAGTTAAATAGACTTGTGAATTGACCGATGGTGGACATGAGGATTCGTGCTCTGGTTTTAAAGATTTGCTTTCATCTCTAGACTTCATCTTTGAGGCTTGGTTGATCAGTTAGGGTCAGGTGTGGGAAATGCTACAGATGGAGTAAGGTCATTAGTTTCTGGAGATTAATTATGCTCTGAATTGAGTCAGATGAACCAGGCACAAGCCCCCTTGATGCCACTTGGTCAAGTTCCCACTGTCCTAAGCTTGTTTCCTCACTAAGTAGGGTGACAAATCCTACCTCACAAGAGTCCACAGGGTTAAATGGGAGTTGGAGATGGAAAGGTATTGATACACCCCTCAGCTCTGGTAAGAGTTAAGACTTCCCCCTTGATGTCTGCCTTTCTTTGGCCATTGAAGTTTTTGTGGCCATGCACATAAGATGCTGAAGAGGAATAGTCCTGTGAGCATTGCCACTTTGCATCCTTCTCATTGGCTGTGTTGTGAGTGAAGACTTAACATAGCTGGGCTTCAGAAGGCAGAAGGCTGACATGGATTCAAACGTGTCTGAGGGATGAGCATTGGAAGCACACTTGTGTACTTCAGTTTGGGGGGTTGTTTTTAAGAATCTTAAATAGTTAACTATGAAGGAAGTGTCAAATATATTTTGCTGGGTCCCAAGGGATAGAATTAGCTGAATTTTCAGGGAACTAATTCTACTTATTTGGAGGAGGAACTTGCTAATTCATAGGGGCAATATAAATCGTCTGGGGACATTGAGTTTTCCAGTTGTAGAGAACATTTAGATGAAATCTTCTAGCCCTGTTATTTTAACTGCCCTGGTGAAATAGTAAATGTTACTCAGACTAAAGTTGGACTTGGAGCTCCATTAACTTGTCCAAGATTTGTCTTCTAAAAGTAGTTTTTAGTATCAAAAATTGTCGTCACTTAAATTCTCTACTGTAGAATTTCCTAGAACCAATTCAAAACTCATAAAGATTTATTTTTACGCCACTTTCTTTTATGCCACTTGTGTCCAGTACAGGGGGTCAGATCCCCAGGAACTGGAGTTACAGCACTTGTGAGCTGCCTGTGGGTCCGATTGCTTAGAGTTTTTTCTTTTTTAATTTTATGTGCATGAGGTTTTTTTTGGTTTGTTTTTATTTTTATTTATTATGAATAATGTTCTGCCTGCATGTGTGCCTGCAGGCCAGAAGAGGGCGCCAGATCTCATTACCCATGGTTGTAAGGCTCCCCTCCCCCCATTGCTGGTATCCTAAGTCAGGACCTCTTGAAGAGCAGCCAGTGCTCTTAACCGCTGAGCCATCTCTCCAGCCCCTATTGCTTTGATTTTTAAGGGGTGATAATGATGTGAATGAACCTGTGCCATTGCTGAACCTCTGGAATCCTGTCAGAAATTAGCGTTTGGTTTAAGAAAGTTGGAGCATTCATCTTTTTGGAATGAAGAGTGGGCAAAGAAAACCCAAACAGGTGATTAGTATAGGGCTCTGTGATTACCAACAGTAATAATGAAAAATGACATATTCTCTCTCACACAGATGGGGCACAGTTATTTTTAGCTGCTTTGTTTGCATTGGACAGGTAAGAAAGGCCGGAATATTTACTCATTCCTTGACAGTGGTTTTGAAGTTTTATTTAATTCCCCTAGCAAAAATATGTTTAATGGATGATCAACTTGATTAGTCAGGCCCATGAATGGCCACATGGTATAATTTATTTTAAGCCTTAAATACATTATCTTAATAGCTTGCTTGTTGTTGTTTTCTTCAGAAGCCACTTAGGAGGGAGAAGGCTTTATTCTGGCCAGCAGTTTGAGGGGAAGGCATGTTGGCGGGGGAATGAAGCATCTGGTCACACAGTGTCTCGTGTCTGCAGTCAGGAAACAGAAAGTGAGGGAGCTTGTTTTCTGCCTTCATGCTACTCAGCTCATAGAATGGTGCCATCCACATTCGGGCGGGTATTTGTGTGTGGGTTAACCTAACTCAGAAGATCCCTCACAGGCATGATGGCGCCTTGCCTTCTAGTGATTGTAAGTCCTGCTAAATGCATGAATATTAATATTTTAATTTCTAGGCGGCTAGTAAAATTATCATGAGAATGATGATTTGCCATGTTACTCATTCCTTCCGAATACCCTGAATTTACTTTTCTGTTACAGGCTATTTTTGCTCTGGGTGGAATATTTAATGCTTTTTGGCTGATGGAGCTTGGGAGGTTTGTGTTTGGGTAAGTTATACCATAATTTCATGTTATCTTAGCATGCTTATTAAGGGTCTTTTTGGTGCTGAGGATTAAAACCAGGGCCTTCCATATCCCAACCTATCCACTGAGCCACACTACTAGTCCTTCATTAAGGATTTAAAAGAAATACATCATTATTTCTTGTGAGGTGTGTACTGCTCTAGAGGCCGTGGGATCCGGGAGAATGGAGCATGTAAATGGGCAGACTAAGTCTCATGCAATAGTCACGTTTACTCAGAGCCTCAGACAGTTTATTCTCTGAGGGTAAAGAGGAGTCACATGAGTAAAGTGCACAGTCGCAAGGACAAGCTTCAAATGGCTGACCAGCCGCATGTTGCCAAAGCATGTTGTTCCATTGAGGCACAGAAGCAACAATAGCCAGTTGTAATGAAGTAAACTCAATCCTGTCTGCCACACCTGGGAGGGTAATGAGAACACATTCCAAGAACAATTCTGTGTTTTTGAAGAAACCGAGGTCCCAAGACTCTTATTTTGCTTTCCTGGAGTTTTCTCACAAGCACTCAGAAGTCTCCTCACACAACCCCACCACTCTTGGGCTGTGCTCCAACAGTGAGGAATGAGTTCAAATCCTTGGAATGTAGCCTATGTAAGTGTACTTCATAGCTACTTGTTTTAACTAAGATATAGTGTTTTGAGTCATCTTGGTTAACTATAGAGTTGGATAAGCTTCTTCAGAAAGCTTTTAAAACCTGATGATATTGAAGACCGATTTAAATCTCATCCACAAAAGTATGGATCATCAGTTTCTAGGCTGGTTACTCTGGGCATCTTACTCTCACTGTTCAGGTGTCTTGAAGTAGCACAGTATCTCTAGGCTGACTGTCCCTAACCCTGTTCTGAGTCAAGCCTTGGTCTTCCTACTTCCTATCTCGAGGGATACAGCTGACAGAATGAAGTCTTTTTCAGAGGCACCAAGGGCATGAGATAGATATGGTATATCGCTGAGGGAAGGAAAATGTATATAAGAGCATGAAAGAGATTCTGGAACAAAAATGTGGTTACAGATGGCCACATGGGTGAAGTGAGAGAGTGTAGAAAGGAGTGTGGAAACTGATGAGCAGATAAGAAGAAAGATACCTTTGGACTGGGACAGAGCCGTGGCAGGACTTAGTTTTAGGATGTGGAGGACACAAAGCTTTGCAATGGGTCTTAAAGGGTAGTGATAACTATGTGGAATGAAGTGAAAGAACATTAGAACCCAAGAAGTAGAAGAATGTTGACAATGCAAGAGCTTTGCAGTTTGGCCTGAAAAGTGAGATTTCATTTTTACAAAATGTGAATGAAAGACACTCTCCTGTGTCAGTGTTTCATATGGACAGATGGTGTAGAGGCTGGGTTCCTTCTATTGCCTGTCGTGATTGCTAACTCATCTTGCCAAGTCACTCCAGCACATCACAATAGAAAATAATAATTGTGTTTTGTTTACAATTTGAGACAAGGTAGCATATGTGGGTAGGTTGATTGTGTCCTGATGTCTGGGATGTCTGCCGCAGTGGTTCACTGGAAGCTGGAATCATCTGGAAGCTTGTTGTCTTGCATGTTGAATACTTGAATTGGGTGCCTTGAAGAGTGTGTTTAATGTCAAGTGGTATCTCTTGTGTGGCTTGCTTTCCTGTAGCATGAGGGTGGTTAACCTTTGTACAAAGTAACTTAGGACTGCAGCTGTGAGTTTAGGACTGAAATGGCAGATGCCATCTTTGGGATGCGTATGGTCACACAGTATTCACTTCCCTATGTCTTACTGTCTGAAGCACTCAAGCTTACCTCCAAGCGAGAGGGGACAGAAATCCCATTTCTTTTGGGGAGAAGTGTTGGAATTGCTAACTGGGATTTTTTTTCAAAGCTTTGACTTTTCTTCTCTATATTTAGGATTGGTGGAGAGTCCTTAGCAGTTGCCCAGAACACATATGCCGTGAGTTGGTTTAAAGGCAAAGAATTAAACCTGGTGTTTGGACTCCAACTCAGCATGGCCAGAATTGTAAGTATGGTGACAGACCTAGTGGGGTCCCATAGGAAGCAAATTACTTGTTCAAAGTCTTAGAAGGAAGTATGTTAGGGCACACTTGGATGTGAAGAAGTAGACATTGGTTTTCATATATCACTTTCAAAAATACTTATTTGTGTGTGTGGGTCTGTGTAGGTGCCTCTGCATGCAGAGGTCAGAAGAGGGCATTGGATGTCACTCTCTGTCACACTCTGTTACTCTCCACCTGTCCATTTGAGGCATTTTCTCATTCAGGGTGGAAGCTGGCAAGCTCCAGTCTCCTGTCTCCTCAGAGCTGTGTTAGTAGGCATGCAGGGGACACTGGCTTGTTACATGGGTGCTGTCATCTGAACTCTTGTCCCCCTGGTTGCATAGCAAGCACTCTCACCAAGGAGCCACTTCTTTAGTCTGTGTTTTCATGTGTTTCTCTAGGAATTAAAATGACATTTGTGTCTAGTTTTTTTTTTTTTTTTTTTTTTTCAGACAGGGTTTCTCTGTGTAGCTTTGGAGCCTATCCTGGCACTCGCTCTGGAGACCAGGCTGGCCTCGAACTCACAGAGATGTGCCTGCCTCTGCCTCCCGAGTGCTAGGATTAAAGGTGTGTGCCACCAACGCCCCGCTATTTGTGTCTTAGTTAGGGTTTTATTGCTGTGAAGAGACACCATGACCATGGCAACTTTTCTAAAGGAAAACATTTAAGTGGGGCTGGCTTACAGTTTCAGAGGTTTAGTCCATTATCGTCATGGTGGGAAGCATGGCAGCATGCAGGCAGACAGGGTGCTGGAGAAAGAGCTGAGAGTTCTACATCTTGATCTGCAGGCAGCAGAAAGAGATTGTATTCCACACTGGGAGTAGCTTGAGGAGACCTCGAAGCCCACTCCCAAAGGCCACACCTCTTAATAGTGCCACTCCTCCCTACCGACCAAGCTCTCAATATGGGGGCCATATCTATTCAAACCACCACACTTTGTCTTCCGTAAAGCATTCATAAATAGGGTAAAACAGCAAAGTGAGCATTCATTAGTTCAAAGAGTCTGAATATAGCTTGCCTAATTTCTCACCAGTTTTGGCGCCCTGCCTCAAAAGTCTCTACAGCTATCCTTCTAGGTTCTACTTGTAGATTTCCATCGATGGGAAGGGCATTCTGTGGGGGAGCAGCCTATTCTCCATTCATTAAGTTTTTCTTTTTTCTTTTGTATTTATTTATTTATTTTGGTTTTTCGAGACAGGGTTTCTCTGTGTAGCTTTGGAGCCTATCCTGGCACTCTCTCTGGAGACCAGGCTGGCCTGGAACTCACAGAGATCCACCTGCCTCTGCCTCCCGAGTGCTGGGATTAAATGCGTGTGCCACCAACGCCTGGCTCTGTTTTTTTTAAAGACAGCCTCACTATGGAGACCTGGCTGGCCTGGAACTTGCTGCATATAGCTCATGCTGGCCTTGACCTCACAGAGATCTGCTTGCCTCTGCCTTTAGAGTGCTGGGTTTAAAGGCTTGTGACACCACAAACTTTTGAAGCTCAAATTCACACAGATGAAACCTTTTCCCACAAAGTACTGATACTGAATGTCCCCACTGTTCTGCCTTCAGCATTAATTTTTGCTTTGTTTTCCATGCACTAAAATGTCATTGGCTCTTCAGGTCTTGATCAGAGACATTTATTTTCCCAGTGGGCATCTAAGCTGTCTGATAGTTTTCAGCTCGCTCACCATAATGCTCACACTTCTCTGGACTTAACTCTGTCAGCTAGTATTCCTGGTGTTGAGAACTAGAAGTGATCTTAGTATTTCCTATTTTGTCTTAGGGGAGAGTACCCAGGAGACAAGCCCTAGATTTGCTGAATGCATCCTGTAAGACAGTCAGGTATTCTAAGAATCCCCATCCCAGCCATGGATAGGGGGTTGAGTATTCTTTTGATTTTCCTTTGTAATATGTTACTTTTAGGTTTCCTATTTCAACAAGCACTAAGCCAGGAGCCATGACAGCAGCAGCCCTGCCTTTGAGGAGTGTCTGTCGGAGACTGTTAGGAAATCTGCTTTATTTCCCAGTCGAGCAATGCCACTTTCTTAAATTCGGGCTCCTCTCATGTCTCCTGCCTTTCTGTCACATCCCCCTCTCCCTCTCCTCATGGCTGTAAAGGTGGGAGTGCGCTAGGAGTGACCTTTGATCAGCACTCACAGCCCTCAAGGTCTGACCTAGTTTTGCGGTTTTGAATAGCATGGCCTTGCTTCTGAGTTTATGTCGATTGTCTAGCCTTTCCCTTGGCTTCTTCACTTACACAGGTGATCACCTATTCAGTGTTTTCCCTTGGCTGTCTCTCTCCAGGCTTTTCTCCTCAATTCCTGACTAACATGCTGAACTGAACTTACCCTATACCTAGTTCTTCATATCTTCCTCCCATTCCTCAGACCAGCTCTTACTGGGAGTTTCTCCTCCTTAGCAAGGGCAACTCTCTTCAGATGGTGCCATCCTGAGTCCCCCCCTTCCCCCATCCTCCCACATTTTGTTAGCAAATCCCATTGGCTGTATCAACAAAACATGGATATTTCAAGCACATCTTTCCATCTGTGCTTTCCATCTTGAGATCACATCTGATCTCAAGAGTCATCTTTCTTGTTTTGGCCTATTGCTAGAGGGTGACTGCTACCTTGTTTCTGCCTCTGTAGTCCAATTAAAAGAAAATAGCCAGGTTACTCAGGCAGAGTTGCTTTTCAAGACTATGGAGGGAGGCTTACCCAGGTTTGCAAGTTCTCTCACCTTCAGCCCCCCCCCATCTTAATTACTTTTCTATTGCTGTAACAACATCATGACCATGACAAAGGCAACTTAAAAATGAAAGTGTTTAATTGGGCTTGTGGTTTTAAGTGGGCTTGTGGATTAGAGCCTATGATGACAGATAAAAAGCATGTTGGCAGGTACAGTTGAGAGCTCACATCTTACATCTTAATCTGAAAGTAGGAGGCAAAGGGAGCACACCGGAAATGGCACCAGTCTTTTGAAGCCTCATAGCACACCCAAAGTGTATTTGTCAGGGTTTCCTAGAGTCATGAAACTTAGAGTGAATCTCTCTATATATATAGAAAGAATTTATTAGAATGACTTACAGGCTGTGGTCCACCTAATCCAACAGTGGCTGTCTATGAACAGAAAGTCCAAGAATCTAAGTTGTTCAGTACATGAGGCTGGATGTCTCAGCTTGTCTTTAGTCTATGCTGGAATCCCAAAGAAGTAGGCTCTAATGCCAGTGAAGGAATTGACTTGAAAGCTAAGAGTGAGCAAGCAGGCAAAGAACAAAAGTTTCCTTCTTCCATGCCCTTATATAGGCTTCCAGCAGAAGTTGTAGGGGTGGGTCTTCTGCCTCAAAAGATCTGGATTAAAGGAGTGTCTTCCCACTTCACTCTAATACAGATTATCTTCTGTGTAATCTGGACTCTGGTTATACTTACTTTACTAAGATACTATAAGTGAATAAGTAAACCCTCCCCCAAGAGTGTTAATAATTGAGAAACCTGTTGTTTTTCTTCCTCAGGGCAGCACAGTGAATATGAACCTCATGGGATGGCTGTATACTAAGATTGAAGCTTCTCTGCGTTCACCTGGCCACATGATCCTGGGAGTAACACTCATGATTGGTGAGTGAATCCTTCTGTCCCATGTTTTGTCCTTTAAAGGCACGTGATAGGAGATACTGTGCCAAAGAAGAAAGAAGTCTAGACTCAATGCCAGACTGCTGTGGTTGTGGGTTATGATTTTGCCTCCACAGTTCACTAGTTCTTTTGACTGTGTAGAAATAGACAATCATATACTTTGTACTTTAATTGCCACTTATGAAGGAGGATCTGATTTTCCCTGTGTACCTCAGTGCTTTTATTTGTATATTGTATGTTCAAAGAGACTGTGTGTGTGACGTGAGGTCAAGCAGGGAGTGTATCCAACCAGGTGAGCTCATGTCATAGACAACAGGAGGGACACTGGGGCCCTTTTGCTCAGGCTCAGCCAGGACACTGGAGAGATATGGTGTGGAGTGGTGGGAAGTCCACTAAGTTGAAAGCCAGGAACCTGGGTTCATTCTTTGCTGCCCATAACTAGTTCTTCTGTCTAGGACAAGAAAATTAATGTCAGTTTTCTGAAAAATTGTGGGTCTTTGCATCCTTGTCCCTAAGTTCTCTGAGACAGTCCTGTAGTGCCAGTTGCTGAGTGGAGAGTCACTGAGTGGAAGGTGAAGCTCCGTGTGTTCCTTCAGGCTCCTCTCCGCACAGATGCATTCTCAGACTGTGTGGCAGAGTCCCGAGTGTCACTGGCTTCTCACAGTGGCTTGTGGAGCAGTGGGTTGAAGTCTTGGTTGTGTTTATCTTTTATTCCTTGAATTGCTTGATGCACAGTCTGGTTGAAGAGGGTCGTAGAGGGATGATGCTAATGGATATCCTATCTGGAGACAACCTTCTCCCAGATCCTCCTTTTCAAGTGCTTTGTCCCAGTTTAAATATTTTGCTGTCAGGTGATCTTCAGCATTCCATGGAGTTTCTCCACATGAGGAATTTTAAAGAATCTCAGAGGTAGAAAAGACACTTGCCATCAAATCAAAGCCTTTCATTTTTTTGCATGAGGAATTGAGCCTTAGAGAGGCCAAGTTTGTGTCCAAAACCTTCACCTTGTCAGTGACAGCTCTCTTTGGATTAGAACATAAATAGTGTCCTGGTCAGATAAAAATCCCTCTTGTCTCTTTCTTTCTGTGATGGATATATGTGTCCACGTTGTTCTGTGCACATGTATATGAGGGTAAACATGTTACATGCATGTAGAGGTCAGAGGTCAATGTTAAGGTGTCTTCCACAATCACTCTCCACCTTAGTTTTTGAGACAAAAATCTCTCACTGAAATTCAGACTCACTGCTTCTGTTGAGACTGGCTGGCCAGTGAGCTCCAAGGATCTGCCTGTCTTCACCTTCCCATAACTAGTCTTCTGCTCTCCCCACTCTCTACAAGACTAGACTATTTTGTTCCAGCATTTTCCTTCTAGTTTCCAACCTTCTGTTGAGAAATAACTGTGATAAAAGCAACCTCTGCTTGCTGGATGTCTGCCATTCTGTTCCTCTTCTGTGTACGTTTGGCACTGGGAGGCTTTTCTTAGCCCTGACTCTCAATGTCTTTCCTTGGTGGTGGTGCTCTTCATGTAGTGTGCTGCTTTTCCTGGCCCTTGGGCTTTTCTCAAAGTTCTCTTTTTTATTTAGGGTGCGTAACGTGCATTCTTTCACTATTCTGTGCCTTGGTCCTTGCTTATTTGGATCGGAGAGCAGAGAAAATCCTTCATAAAGAACAAGGAAAAACAGGTACGCCAGTGTGACACTAGAGGGGGACATAGGGGACCTTCAAAGATAATTTTCAGAAGCATAAACATGGTGCAGCACCCTGATGTCAGCATGTGTATATTTACAGAATCATTTCTGCTTATCTAAAGTTTTGTATGTATTCCTTTGTTTAAATGTTTCTGACAGAATGTACATTCTTGATTTTGTTTTGTATGTTAGTGAAATGATTTTAGTTCCCATAGAAAGGAACAACTGTAACTTCTGTTTTTTTTTTTTTTTTTTTTTTTAATTTTTTTTTTTTTCCATAAACAGTAACATCTTTATCTTTTTTTTTTTTTTTTTTTTTTTTTTTTTGTCCTCCTCTTACTTGGTAAGTTATCTTGGAGATGTTATTTTTGGAATTTTCTAGAAAAGAATTTTAATTATATGAATAGAAATGATGAAAGGTCCCTAGGTTTCTTGAAATAATGTGTCTTCCCTTTCTCAAGGTGATGTCATTAAGTTGACTGACGTAAAGGACTTCTCCTTGCCCCTGTGGCTGGTCTTCATCATCTGTGTCTGCTACTACGTGGCAATATTCCCTTTCATTGGGCTGGGCAAGTGAGTATTCTAGCATTCCAACTGAAGTTATAATGAGAGCCAAGACACATCCATGAGTGGATACTTTCTGTAGTTAAGTTTGCTACTCTGGACACAGTGTGTATTTAGACTAGTTATTTTATGTTCTGGGATATAGCAGGCAATGGCAGCTCCAGGTTTAGCATTGGTTTAATACTTTCATTATTCTCTTGAAAAAATACTTCAAAATTTTCTTTTTATTCTTGGATCAGGAGGCTGCTTACTGTGAATGTAAGTTGTGCATTGGCTCCTGTCCACTAAGGGCTAATTCTTCCAGACTTAGATTCAGAGTTCAAGGCAGGTTCTTGCTTGCTTTGTCTGCATCTTGCCTCATTCATGGCTGCCACAGTGTGCGAGTGCAAATGTGTTTTTATGTCTTTATGATCTTAAAAACAACATAGTCAGTATGTGACAAGAACTCTATTTATTACATAGTAAAGGAACTCTGCAGTTCTGCTTTTAATTTGGTGTTCTGAAAATGTGTGGGCCAATCATAGTTTAGTCAGGGAGATAGTTCCATGAGGCTTGAGCTGCAGCCGATTGCTTTCCGATGGGTAAGAGGTAACTGTGGGAGAATAGTACCAGGAAAGAAAAGCTTATTAGACATTAGAGATAATTTTTAACTTGTCTTTATTTCTTGAAAACAAAGTAGTCCTTCCTAATGTACACACTTTCCCTTTTAATTTTAGAGTTTTCTTCATGGAGAAATTCGGATTTGCTTCCCAGTCAGCAAGTGCAATTAACAGGTACTTGGTGTAATTCTGTAAGCCCTTATTGCATGTGATATATGGGTGTTTATGAGCAGAGCCCGTGCATGAGAACCCACAACAATTGTGTGACCACAGCCCTCCAACACTGCAGATCCCAACCCCAGGGGGCTGGCTCTGCACTCAGGGAAAAACCAAACCAAACCAAATAAAACAAAACAAAGAATTCTCAGATTGATTTTTATATTTCTATTTTCTGGTGGTTATTTTAGAAAAGTGGTTAATTAAATGATTAGGCTTGCTTAATCTGGTAGTTTCAGAGGAGCTGTGCTGCCTTCTGTTAACATCTCACACTCCCTGGGCAGTGTTGTGTATGTCATATCAGCTCCCATGTCGCCAGTGTTTGGACTCCTGGTGGATAAAACTGGAAAGAACATCATCTGGGTCCTGTGTGCTGTCGCTACCACCCTCGTGTCCCACATGATGCTGGCCTTCACCTTTTGGAACCCATGGATTGCTATGGTAATGTTTAGGGGGATGCTCACGGCTTCAGAGACAATCTCCAGGCCACATTTGGTGTGCCTGGCAAACCCAGCCGGAAAGTGCTGAGGGGGAAGAGACTTGACGTTAGTTTTGGCAAAGTAAACATTGTTTTTAAAAAGGGATTATCATCTGGTTTGCTTAGTAGGGAAACCTTCAAAGTTAAAGTAGAATTTGAAACAAAAATAGTCTCATGACTGGAAAGCTAATTACTTCCAGTTATTTTCCTGAACTTCATTAAAATAAGTCATTTCGGGGCTGGAGAAATGGCTCAGTGGTTAAGAGGGCTGCCTGCTCTTCCAAAGGTTCTGAGTTCAATTCCCAGCAACCACATGGTGGTCACAACCATCTGTAATGAGATTTGGTGCCAAACACTGTACACATAATGAATAAATAAATCTTTAAAAAGAAATAAGTCATTTCATTAAAAGTGACCAATCTTCTGGCCCAGTAGCCATTCTTTTGTCTTTGACTCTCAGAAGGTTTAAAAGATGGCAGTAAGTCCATGTTGCCTTCATTGTGTTGGTTTTCAGAGTGCAGGCTGAAGTGCTGTGTCTCTTACCTGTTCATAAGGAACATCTTGAGCTACATGTATTTATGGACTTGGTGGAAAGTTCCACAGAAGTCTTCCTATAGGGACATCCAGGTCCTAGGGGTGCTGCTGTAGAGGCTTCACACAGAGAGTATCTTAGGTTGAGATGCTCAGGGACTTCCTCCTTATTTGTAACTGTGCCAGCAGTGCAAAAGTGTGTCCATTTTCCTTGCTAGTGTTGGGTGTCAGCATTATTTTTATATTTACCAGTCTGATAGGTACATGTAATACTTAATTTAAATTCAAATCATACTTTTTCTTTCTACTTCTTCTTAAAAATTGAGACATACTGCCAGGCATTGGTGGCGCACGCCTTTAATCCCAGCACTCTTGAGGCAGAGGCAGGCGGATCTCTGTGAGTTCGAGGCCAGCCTGGTCTCCAGAGCGAGCGCCAGGATAGGCTCCAAAGCTACACAGAGAAACCCTGTCTCAAAAAAACAAAAACAAACAAATAAATAAAATAAAATAAAATAAAATTGAGACACTTTTGCTATATACAGTTAAAATTGCTGCTTGCAAATTTACTGTGTAGATTATACTGGCTTTGCATTCACAGTTCTATATCTGCAGACATGCTGCCACCATGTTAGGCAGGTTCTTTTTTTTTTTTTTTTATTGTCACATAGTGTCTGACAAGTGGTGGTGATGGCAGGTGGTTCCCTGCTCTACTTTTCAGTTCAGAATTGGCCCTCCAGAGGCAGCAGTAGAATAATATCACTCTGCCGCCTTGATTGCTTTATCTGTAATTAAGGAAAATCAGGTGAATGCCTCCAGTGAAACTTGGGTAAGAATTTTTTTGCAAATTATCTGTGCTCTTCACTGTACAGGGGGCCCAGACAGTCTACATCCCAAGTGAAAATGGTTAAAGCAGTAGAGGGTACTGAGACCCAAGCATTTAAAATTTTAGTCTAAGTACCGTGAAACATTTACATTTTAATTTAGCTAGTATGTCACTTTCACTGATCTTTAGCAAGGAAAATCACCCGTTACCTGATGTATACAGTACTATTCTGCCTTCCTGTCTAGTGTCTCCTGGGTCTCTCCTACTCATTGCTTGCCTGTGCGTTGTGGCCAATGGTGGCATTTGTAGTTCCAGAACACCAGCTGGGAACTGCATATGGATTGTAAGTATTGTGTTTTTACTGCATGTCATACCTGTTGCCTTCTGCTGTATCAGTTATCATAATGCCCCACGGGTCCTAATTGTAGTGATGCTCAGAGTTCTGGGAGAGCTGTGCACCTGCAGATGACCAGAAACATCAGTTAATCCATTTAAGCAACTGTGGTGGTGTTTCTGGTCACTGTCCCTAATTGGGATCCGAGCTAAACAACCCAATGAAGGAGGGTTTATTTTAGTTGCTGTTTTAAGAGATTTCAATCCATAATTCTTGGCTCTATTGATTCTGGGCTTATTGGTTAGGCAGGTCCAATCATGGTAGCCAGGAAGCAG